TCTTAACCTTACTCTCAGGCACGAAGCATAGAAGTTAGCAGTCACAACTTGGAGGAATGAGAAATATTGCCAATGTGTTAAGAGTTTTAGAGGAAGAAAAGTAATAAGAGGGATAACAACAGGAAGGAAGTGACATTTGAGTCATAACTATGGATGAGCTGGGTCCTTAGCAGACATTTTGGACAGAAGTGTTTTATGGATCCAGGCTCATAGAGGGGTGCAGTGGGGGGACAGCCAGTGAAAGCACTTTGAATCTTATTTTAATATGCTAATTACTGTAGTGGGATAATCTTTTTGTACACTGTGAAGATGTGTCCTTGTGATTAGTTTAATAAAGAGCTGAATAGCCAATAGCTAGGAGAGGATAGGCAGGACTTCTAAGGAGAGAGAGGAATTCTGGGAATCCCCCTGATTCACTAGCCAAAGAAATGGAGGGAGTCAGACATACGCAATGGAGGAGAGGTAAAGAGCCAGTGTGGCAGAACTTAGATTTATAGAAATGAGTTAATTTAAGTTATAAGAGCTAGTTAATAAGTTGCTTTGTCATTATTTGGGGGCTGGTGGTCTAAAGACAGTCCAACAAGAAAGCTTGATATAAATGACTCATTTGTAAATGTCTTGAAACGTGTCAAACTTGTAGGCATTCCAAATAGGCTGTCATGTGGATTTTGAACTGTATTTTAGTAAACTTTTAATTATAATTAAAACATGCCTTGGTGGTCTGAACAAGATAACCAAAGTAAATTAAGCTAAAGACTTAAAGTCTGAACATTATTTTCTCACATAAAATGAAGGGTTTTTTACCTCCCTTTGTGTTTGGTTCATCAATGGAGGTTTTTCTCTCTCTCAAACTGCATCCATATGTAACCTGATTCTCCTGTTTTTGCTTCAAGATAATACATGACTTTAGATATGTACCAAGCAGTTTAAGTAGGAACTATCTAGATTTGCAACATATTTCTCCAGTCTTTTTACAGTTGTCTCTATTCTGTCTATATGAATATGTTGTGATCAGAAAGGACAGTTGTTAGTACTGCTAGTTAGCAGGCCTTAATAACTAGATGGTTTTTATGTGGCATCACCAATTCAAATAAGTCTTAAAGGAAGCCATGGATTTACACTTTTATGGTTAGACAGTTCTATCACATAGTCGTATTTTCTTAGTTCGTCTTTTACATGTGTTCTTTATGATTTCTGCTGTTAGTGTTTTTAGATTTGACAGCTGAGTCCCATTTCTCCCCTTCTAAGGTGTTGTACAGCCTTCACTACAGCTGCGTCAGCATACAGCTATTATCACTATGGTCGGAAAACTGTTCAGGTGATAAAGGGCAAATGAGAGAGCTCCTGCAGCAAGGAAGCGACTTGCATCATCGGCAGCAGCGCCAGCGAAAGCTACAGGACTTTCCCCATCTTGGTGTTCAGCTTGAGAAAGGACTTGTCAGACAAACCATGTCTTCAAACGGAAGTAATGTGCGTCGAAAATAAGCTCTATCATGGGCCTATGCAGAATTTCCAGTGTATTTTTAAATACAAATAAAACTATAATGTAGAATTTTTAATCTTAGTTTTTTTGATTAATTTGTGAGATGAATTATTCTAGTTATTGTCTTTTTTAAAAATGTTTTTTAAAAAAAAATAGTTGATAGCATTGAAACAGGAAAGCAAGAGGGATTCCCTGAGATTAGATATATACCGTACACAACGAGACTATGCATTTTTATGTTTGAATTTTAAATCTATATACACATTAACAGTTGATGTGGTTAATACTTGACCATTTGAGAAACTGACAGTAAACTTAGCTGTGGGTAGGGTAGAGGTGTACACAGCCTTAAAATGCAGTAAGTTTAGAAAATAAAGAAAGGTCAAATAAAATAGATGGTCTTGAAGTTCATCAGTAGTCTTCCAGCCTCTCAGGTACCAAATAGTTTGTTCTGGCATAATAGACAACACAGGAGTCAGAGTAGGAGAACATGTAATAATAGGCTTTGCATCTTAAAGGCAGAGAATTACATCATGCCTTCCTACTGTTTCTAATGTAATGTTTGTATGATATTGGAACCTGTACTCATATGTCATGTAAATAATATAAAACTTTATATTTTTCAGAGTTTTTTTTTTTTTTTTTTAAGCTTTGGGGGAATCTTCTGTTGTTAACTCAATAAAAGAATAAAAGAGCTAGAAAAGGCGTGCCTTCCACTTGGGTTGTTCCCTGGTGTGTCTTTATGCTGCTGCATTAGTTTCCCAATCTATGAAGTATACTTAGATGCAGCACTTCCCCTTAACATGGTAAACATAACTGGTTCAGGACCATCTGACTTTAAAGACCTGCCACACTGTTGCGTTTAGGATTGTGGGGTGCGGGTCGGGTCAGGAAGCTGCGTGTTCCTCCACATCCTGGAAGCCTTTGGTTGCCCTTTCTCCCTAGCTTTAACAACTAAGTGTAATGTGGAACCATACAGTAATAACTCTCCAATCAGTTTGTTGAGCTGTGTTAAAATGGAAGGTAGAGATAAAACTTAAGCTTCCTTGTATTTTGCGTTGGTGCAACCCTCTGTTGCTGCTGCTAACTTGTCACATCTTATCCTCTGTGGTGGTTTGGATGACAATGTCCCACAGCCTCAGGTGTTTGAATATGTTGTCCCTAATTAGTGGTACCATTTGGGAGAGGTTTAGAGGGTGTTGCCTTGCTGGAAAAAGTATGACCCTGGGGACATGCTTCTGAGGTTCTAAGCTGAGGTTTCAAAGCCATGTGCCATTCCCAGTTCACACACAGCAACAGCTCCATGGCATGCCATGCTGTTTGGCTGGCTGGAGCAGAACTCCACCAGGAACTGCTTGGGGACTCTAGGCCCTGGCTGTGACACTGCAAAGCAGCAAAGCAACAGCTCTGTACCACGTGGGGCAGGACTCAGTCAAATGCTGGCTGAGGGCCCTAGCCCCTGCCAGCAAGCAACACAGTGACAGCTCAGTGCCATGCCATGTGGCTGGTGGGGTCAGGACTCACTAGAAGCTGCCACAGGGGCTCAAGTTCTAGGCTGGGACACAGCAATAACAACATATCTGAGCCATGCTATGTGCCTGGCAGGGGCAGTAAGGCACCATTATGATGAGTGAATACAGTGTGGGGAGGTGGAGTGGAGCGGAGCGGTTCATGGGCTGGGGAGAGAGCCAGATCTGAGAAAGGAACAGGCTAATGTGAAAGGCCTGCTTGCCACCCGAGTCCAGGGTGATGCCTGGGCTATTGCCAAGGGCCAGTCTTGGTCCTGAAGCAGCTGAGGAGACATGAGTTGATATCTGGGGCTCCTGGGGCCACTGAGGGCTGTGAAGAGGCCTGTAATCTGGGCTACCACTTGAGGTCAGATTAGTGTCTGAGGGCCAGGAAGCCACGAGGACCATGAAGATCCAATTGGTGTGCACTGCTGCCTGAGGCCATGATAGCATCTAGCCCAGGCTGCTGCTAAGGACCATGTCTGGGTTGGTGGTCCTACCACAGCCAGGTTCTGTATTGATACCTTGTCGCCAATGGCCACACTGATGCCTGAGGTCTAGGCTGCAACCTGTGGTCATGTGGTTATTGGGGGCCATGTTGCCACCAGGGTCGTGGTGATCTGAGTGGCCTGCACAGTCACCCAGAGCCATGGTATTGTCCTTGCCAGGGCTGCTGCCAAGGACCATGTATAAGTCTGTGGCTCTACAGCAGCCAGGATCTGAGTTGATGTCTGTGGCTCCTGTTACTGCCAAGGGCCACGTAGATGCCTGGGGTCTGGTCAGCCATCGTGGTATCCGAGGGCCGTGCTGCTACCAGGGCCATACTGATCTAGGTGGCCTATGCTGCCACCAGGGCCATGGTGACACCTGGGCCAGGGCTGCTGCTGAGGTTCATATCTGGGTCCATGGTCCCTGCTGCAGCTGGGGTCTGTTGATGTCCATGGGTGAGCCAGATGAGGTCCTGAGAGCAAGAGAGCTGGCCTTGCTGTAGGCTGCATTGGGTAGGCTGGCCAAGGCAGTGCTGGCGAGCTCACCTGGGTGGTGACAATGGAAGAAAGCTGGTGGGCTGACCAGTCCAGCTAACACCCAGGCCCAGAACCATGGCTATGAGTTGGCTCACTCGAACATCCACCAAATCTGTGGACTATTGGAGCAGCATGTGAAGGGGGAGAACTTACAGACCCAAAACTGCAGGAACCCCATGACACAGGACAACAACAGGATATCCAAGAGGGGCCCTAGTGAGATCCTATTATTGCCAGAGGCCTCGAATCAGACAAATGGCTCATGACAATGAACAAGAGCAAGTGAAGATGAAAGGACTTAGGGTGAACTGTAATGCAACGGGCCACACTACAGATTCCACGACAAGGGTCTTCTTTTTTGTGTTGTTGTTGTTTGCTGTTTTGGTTTTTGTTGTTCTTTTGTTGGTTTTTGCTTTGTTTACTTTGGTTTTTGGTTTTTCTTTTAAACTTTGTTGGGGGGGAGGTTGCAAGAGCAGAGGGTGAATGGGGGGCAGGGACAGGAGACGGGTGGGATCAGGATGAATGATGTGAAATCCACAAGGAATAAAAGTAGAAAAAAAGTTTACTAAGACCTCCACTGCTCCCCCCACCCCGCTCCCCCCCCCCAAAAAAGTTGAAGGCTGGGCTTCCAGCTCCAACTGCCATGCATATCTGCTGTCAACTTCTTAGCCATGACAGATTCTTGACCCCTCTGGAACCACAAGCTAAATAAAGTTTCTTCTGTAAGGTGCCTTGGTCATGATATTTTGTCAGAGTAATAGAAAATTAACAAATGTAGCCACCGTGGCCTTGGAGCCTACTAAACTCTACCACAGAATGACAGGAGAGAAGGGTGGGGTGAGGCTGGAGGGGTCCCTGCCTCAGCTCTCCATACAGTTTCGAACTGGGAGCTGCTGAGGGTGGAGAGAGGGGCTGCTGGAGCTTCCAGGATGGTAAGCCCACAGAAATGTCACACAAAAGATGGGAAGACGCTTCTGGAGGAAGTTAGTTGTTTATTCTGCTTTATTATATTTGCTTATTGTTGACCTTTAGTATCCTTACTATGAGGGGTTTTGATCTAGCTCTGACCAACACTTTTCCCATATCAACGCTTACAAAATAGTTCAAATGTCCTAATGGTTTTTGTTTAAAAAACTACATTCTGTCCATTTTCTTTTTTTTGTTTTGTTTTGTTTTTTGTTTTTCGAGACGGTTTCTTTGTGTAGGCTTGGATGTCTTAGAACTCACCCTGTAAATCAGGCTGGCCTGGGACTCACAGAGATCCTCCTGCCTCTGCCTCCCGAATGCTGGGATTAAAGGTGTGTGTCATGTTCTTTTTAAAATACTGGAGTTGTATTTGAATGCAAATACTAGAGTATACATTTATGTATACAGATTGGCAAATTTATCTCAGTGTCTCCATAGAACTTTTTGTTTTTCGAAACAGGGTTTCTCTGTGTAAATTTGGAGCCTGTCCTGGAACTCGCTCTGTAGACCAAGCTGGCCTCGAACTCACAGAGATCCACCTCGCCTGCCTCTGTCTCTCTCAATTGCTGCTGGGACCAAAGGCATGCACCACTACTGACTGGCTAGACTCATTCTTGAGAGTAGGCTAAAACACTGGGGCCATTTAATTACTTGTCTTAGGACAATACTAATGCACACTTTTGACTTTAACTTTTAAGCAGGGTTGTAGGGGAGGTCTTTCAAATGCTTACTCCAATTCTCTTGGGGCATATATTTAATGAAACTAGGGATATGTTTTAGGATGTTGAAAACATGCTTGAATACTTAGCCATTCACAAGTGTGTAAGTATTCATACCGCCTCCAGCTAGGATACGCTTGCTTTCTGCAGCATGGCATTTGTGCTTCAACCTGTCCTGGAGATGAGAGATGGATTCAATCAGTCTTTGTGGGTTCAGTTTTACCTCCTCTCCAAACTCTTGTAATCCCAGCATTTGGAGAGAGAGGCAGGAGGCTCCCAAGTTTGAGGCCAGTATGGGCTGCACAGTAAGACCTTGTCTAAGCAATAAAATTCACACTACTTTTGTCTATTGAGTCTTGAGTGACATGCAGGAAACCCTAGAAGCAAATAGTCTTTTCCTATGTTTCACAGATGTTACGAGAAGGCTAGTTTTAACTGGAAAGCTTGAAATACATGTTCCGACACACATTGAAATGCAACTAATAAATCCTTAGGAAACCAGTAGCTCTTCCTTGACCACCAGCTCTTGGCTATCAACTCATGCTAACACCAGGGGCCACAAGGCAACTTCCATGCAAGAAACTTAAGGATGGCATTTCCAAAAGTTTTGTTCCTTGTTACGATTGCTTTGTTTTCTCCCAGTGGATACTGAGGGAGACACCAATGGCTGAAAAACTCCAAGAGGACAGGGCAGAATGACAGCTGCCAGTAGAACTGTCTGGTGTTGACTGTCAGGTTACTGAGAACAGTTAGAGGAGGAACAGAAGGAAGGAACAGAGTACTGAGTATGTGAGAGGCATGCTGGCTTTGGGGAAGGTGGGACTCAAAAGTGCTGTTTTTATGCACTAGGTTGTAATTTCTGCATGAAGACATGGTTCGATTGGAAGAAAGAAGCTGGGATAATTGAAGGTCTGGAGCCTCAGCAGGTCAAATACTGGTCTGTTGTTTAATTTGGTCACTAGAGATTAACCCAAAGCCTCAAATGTGTCTGATTTTCATGTTGGGGACAAACCCAAGGCCTTGTGCATAGGGAAGTCACTACCACTGAGCTACTTCCTCAGCCCTAGCTGGGTTTTTGAAGGCCACCAGGTCTGTGTCATAGTACTGCCTGTGTGACTTCCAGCGCTGTCTCCAGAGACACACAGACAGCACCAGGGTGCAAACTAGTAACAGTCCCTGGGAGGTGCACAGTCCCCAGAAGATGACCACAGAGCTGGGCTTGGTTGTGAAGGTGGCACATGACCTCTTCCAGCCTGAGGTCTGCTGCTGGCTCAGGCCAGCCCTGTTGGCTGCCTGTACACACACATGGTAGGTGGTGCTTGGTGACAGCTTGTACAGGGGGTGCTGTCGGGCTGTAGCATAGATGTCCACTACTGACTGGTTCCCAGATTTTCCTTCTGCCAGGTAGCTGATCTGGTACGAGTGCACCACTGAGTTGGGGGCACACCAGTGGATGAGCATTGATGTGTCGGTCATTTCTGAAACCCCCTGCAGCTTGGGAGGGTCTGGGATGGTATCTTCCCCACTGAGACCAGGGCAGCGACATCTGAAGTGCCTCTGTAACTCTGCACATGGAGTCTGCAGATGCTTGCAGGGGTGGTAATCACAAGAGACATCCTGGTGAGGTGCTACCCCCTGACCGTGAGTCTCATCCTCCTCGCTCTCATCATCTAACAGCACGACTGGAATCTCATCCTGTGGAGGCTGTATGTGGAGAGCTTTGGTGGTGGCTTGTGTCCTCCGGTTGGCAGCACCAGGCGGAGTCTTAGAGGGATGGTAAATTGTCACTGAGTCAGTAGTGGACCGAGGAGTTTCCTCTGAAGTACCGCTATGCATCCATGACCCGTGTGTAAGAGAAGCCGTGGTGTGGGAGGGGACCTTGGTGATATTTTGTTGGCCTCCTCCAGACTGAGCAGATGGGGTTGTGCTCTGCCCAATGGAAGGCCCCTGTGTCCGTGGTGCAGAAACTGAATGATCAAAGTGGGGCGGGTTTGAAGCCAGGAGGGTGGTTCTTTGGTCTGGCCTGCACACATCAGATAGCTGGACGAGAGAGAGGGGACCAGAGAGGGGGTCCTCGGATCCTGAAGTGAGTTCACACATGGTATCTGCTGCCCTGGAAGGAAAAACCAATTATTAGGAGACACTTGGTCTCAGGGTTTTAAATCCTCAATGTGGGGGTCTCCTCTGCCAACACATCTCTACCAGGTATGACCTAGTAACATCACTTTTTGACCAAGGAAACCTTTGGGGGAAGATCCTGTCACCCCTTCTTCTGGGCAGAGAAGGAAACAGGAGAGAGGTGCTAACTGCCCAAGATGCCATGGCTAGCCAATGGCAGAGCATAAACCTGGGAAGCTCTATGCAGTAGGAACTATTTTCCCCACAGATGTAACACAGTCGTATTTAAAGTAGGAAGTGGAGCGAAGCCAGACTTTTTGCTTTAGCATGTGCTCTCAACATGGTTTTTAATGCCTCACTTAGACCCTGACTGTCAAAGGATCTGGAGCTCTCCAAGCCAAGAGATGCCATTAGAATGTGTTTCTTGTTCCATGAGAAAGCTCTGTAAGCATACTGGGCTTAGACTGAGTGACCAAAGAGCAGGAAACTAGGCTATTTTGGGGGTTAAGAGCACAGATGTAGATGAAGATGGATACTGCCTCTTTCATCTAATAGCAACATGAATTCATCAAGTACCTAACTTGTTTGGGCTCCATTCCCTTGTCCGTAAAATGGAGAAATGGTACATCTGGTCTTCCTTTTCCTACAAGGCATGGAGACTACATTTCCCAGCCTCCCTTGCAGTTAGGTATGGCCTGTCCACTAACTGTTGGCCAATGAATACGAGTGGAAATTGTGAGCACCACCATTTAAAAGCTCCCAACTCAGTTTTTCTATGTTCTTTGTCCTTTCTGGCTGACTAGAATAGAAGTAGAGCTTTCATCCCCCCTGTTTGACTACATGGGGGTGAATGCCACAAAGTCATATGGGCAAGACATAAGCTGGGACAGTTCTGGCTCTGGGAGGATTATCTCATCTCACAGCCGTCTGGTTGGTAAATGTGTTACCTGTGTAAGACAGTTTTGTTTGTATCCATGAGAAGCCAAGCCAGCTCACAGCTGCAAGTGAGAGGGTTGCCAAAGAGGCTGACAGACAAGACTTGGGAAGAATTCACAATCCAAGGACCAAAGGAACTCAAGTTGCAGCTGAAATGACACACATACACACGTAAATCAGTTAAGTCGTGATCTTAGCTTCAGTTTGAACAATTAGGTTTACAATGTTCCCACAAGAGCTGGAGAGATGACCCAGAGGTTAGGAGCATTGGTTACTGCTCTTCTAAAGGACCTGGGTTCAGTTCTCAGCACCCACATGGTGGTTCACAAACAGCTGTAACTCCAGTTCTAGAGGGTCTCACATTTTCTGGCTTCCATAGGCACTGTATATACAGGCAAAGCAAACATACATATAAAATAAAAATAATATTTTTTTAAAAAATATTTTATTTATTATGCATGTGACTTCTCTACCTGCATGTATGATTTTGCACCAGAAGAGGGCATCAGTTCCCACTATAGGTGATTGTGAGAATTGAACTCAAGACCTCTGGAACCATTGAGCTCTTAACCATTGAGCCATCTCCAGCCCCCAACAACTAAACCTTAAAGAAAAGGAAAAAAAAAGTTCTTAAGAGGCACAGTGGTATTGTGGAAAAACAATTCCACTAGCAATAGAACCCTGAGTTGTACCCAAAATGAGTTTAGACCTCCCATTTTGCCAACCAAGCTCAGTCATTGTTAACTCATATTGAATAGAGAAGCTACTCCCATGCCAAGAGCTTTTTTTTTTTTTTACCAGAAGTCTGTGATAATGAACATGTTTAGTAAATACAAAGTCTCTAGCCCAAAAGTAAATAATAGAGACTATTATTAGAGACCAGTGCTGGAGATTGAACCCAGGGCCTCACACATACTAGGTAAGCATTTTACCACCCTTAATCCAAAACTCTTAGTGAGAACACCAGGTAAGCCAAGAGACCCAGAGAGTGGAGTGAGTCTAGAACAAATATTCTGTTGAACTCCAGGGATGAAAGGGGAGAGCCGGGGGTGGGTTTGCCATTTCTGGGTATGGTGGGCTATTTGTAAAAGTGTCCACATGTCCTCTCATCTCTGCAGGCACATGCCTTTGCAATGTGGCCACCCCTCTCCCCATCCAAAGCTAGTCTGTAGTTCTCTACCCCCTTGACTTGGTGACTTACTTAGGCCAGAAGGATATTAGCAAATTTGATGTAGCCAGAAATGAGAAAGCAGTTCAGTGCTAGAGTTGGACCGTAACTGATGGCACAATGCCAATACTTACACAATACTGCCCTTAGTGCACCAGTTAGCCCTTGTTAAGTGGAGGATGGCACCAAAACATAGAAGCTTGCAAATGCCTTCTTTTCATTCACATGATTCTTGGGGTGGCTTGGTAGTTCCTGGTCTGGGCAGGCTCACCTGGGCCAGATGAGGTAGAGCTGCAATCGCCTACAGAGAGCCCCAGTTGGGTGAGGACCCCTTAGCACATGTGGGGGGGGGTCAGCCTGGAACATCACCTGGTAGTCAGGGCTCCAAGAGTAAGAGAAAACAAACCCCAACTCTCAGTGCTGTCTCCTTTCTGTCTACACTGGTGAATACAGCACCGGCTTAAAGTCACCAGGCTTCTGCGTCGAGCTTTTGATGGGTGGAGATGAACAATCACAGACAGGAATGGGACAGGAATAGGGGAGAATTACTCTAGGCATATTTACAGTTTCTCACACCTAAGAATGGTAGATCCACTCTTGGCTCTCTCCTGTTTCTTCCTTGGAGTCTGACAGAATGTTTGACCTGGGCTCTTCACACTTTCTGAGCTCCTCTGACTCCGGTTTTACTTCCCTGTCCTTCACAGTAACAGTTCATCATGGGCAGCATGAGCTGCACAGGGCTACGGCTCGCTCACTCATGCCCTTCCTACAGAGGCCTCCCTTACCCAGTCTGATGGCGCACTACCACTACCTGCTTTATAACACAGCGCAGGGCGTGTGCCGCTGCTGTGGTTCATGGTGGCTTGTGCTAGTTGACAGTCATCTGCTTCCTATATTAAACTGTGGTCTTGTTGAAAGGTGGTGCCGTATCATCATTCCTGTCACGACCACCATCAGCAGCCTCACCACCCCATTATTCTCGTACAGTCATTGTCGCTACCATCATTGCCATCACCATCATCACCTCCACCAGTTAGTGTTATCATCTCTGTGTGTGTGTGAGAGAGTTGGGGAGGATATGCATACTGACATGCACGTGGGGATATGTATCCATGCATGTGTCTGGGGATGTCAGAAGTTGACATCAGGATGTTCTCCTCAGTTGCCTTCCACCTTTTTTTTTTTTTTTTTTTTTTTTTTTTTTGAGGCAGGGTCTTTGCACTGAACCAGAAGTTTGCCGTTGGCTGAGGCTGGCTGGCCAGCACACTGCAGGGACTTACTCTGCATCCTGGGATGCTGGTGTTACAGATGTGCACCGCCATGCCTGGAGCACTAGAGATTGCACCTTTCTCTCTGAGCCACCTCTCTAGCCCCACCTTCATCCATTCGATAGACTCTTAAGTCTAGAAATGGACGTAAGGACTCCCATTTGCTTTTCTCATGTGAAAAGGAGTACCATTGTTATACTTATCATTTTCCAGTGCTTCATTCTTTTTACTTTGAATTTTTTGCATTTTTTTTTATCAAGCTCAAAAGAGTCAGAGCCACACATGTTTTCCCTCCACACCGTGCATTCTTAGTATCTGGTTACTGAATGAAGGACAAACATTTATTCTTAAGGGAAAATGGTTCCATATTTGGCACCTGCATTGGGCAAAAGAGAACAAAGAAGCACTCCTAGGCTCCCCTGGAATTGCTAGCCATACCACTATCATTATCCAGAATGCAGTAAGCCCTGTAGTGCCTCTAAGGCACCACCTTCCTGGACTCTGAGAGACAGGTATTTGTCCTCTGGGAAAAATCACTAGGCCCAAGTGAGTCAGACAACACAGAACCCTGCCACAGAACTAAGGTTCAATGCTGCTACTTTTAATCTTTTACAAATGGCCAATGACACAGAACAGACTGCTAAATAACTGGATATTACAAACAGGGCTATTTTAGGCTTAGGGTCAACAGGAACCATAAAGGCTGAGAGCACTGAGTAAGGGGCTGGCCGAGGTGTCCAGATCCCAAAGAGAATTGCTCTACACCCTGCTCAAGACAAAGGAAGGCAAGGGGTTTACTGACTCATTACCCATCTGTAAACTTGATCAAAGAGGGGAGAAGAGACTGGACATGCTTTGGAAGCTCCTCTTATCCCCCATCCCTACCAAAACATGAAAAACAAAAAAGGACGCTTCTATGTCAAATGACAAGTCCCAGATGTAGGTCCCACTGACAAGAGGTGGCCTGGGATTGTCTTCAGTGCTCTGCTACTCTGAGAATTCAAACCAATGGTTGCTATTAGAATAAGAGGACCAAGTCCTAATCCCAGTGCATGGTAAACCTTCCTACCCTGTCTCCTTCCCTCCCAGCCCCACTCATACCTTTGATGAACTAAAATGGCATCATTTGGGGGAAGGGGGATTCCAGTGGAGAGAAGACCTGACATCCTTGTCTCCTCGTTGCTAGTTATTAAGCTGGGGAAACTGTCTGGGTTAAGATGCCACAGGCAAGATGGAGGAGAACAGAAGGCCAGAGAGGATTTGGGAGATCAGTGGCAGAAACAGTAAGGACTACCATGCCATATAAAATTCAATATAGTATAATGGGCATAATCGGTTCTATGCCTGAGCTGGGCTTAGAATCACTTACTTCTGCAACAGAAGGACTTGTAGACAAGGTGTGTCTTGAAAGATCTCTGTGTGGATGGAAGTAAGTGCTGGGGATTCTTGACAGTCCAGCTGCTGCAGGTTAGGAGTCATCTTGAAAACGTCTCTTTCCAGTGTCTTCAGCCTGGGCATCTTTCTCAGGTAGAGGGACTTGAGCTGTGGCAGGGTTCTGATCCATTCAATCTTCAGCCTGGGCATCTTTCTCAGGTAGAGGGACTTGAGCTGTGGCAGGTTTCTGATCCACCCAGATTCAACTGAAATCAAAGGGAATTATTTCAGCAAGGCACAAAACCCCAGGGGACAGCAATAAAGAAATGAGTGACAGGAGGGGGACACAGGTGGCAAGGCCCTTCCTCAGCTATGCCTAATCCTTTTTTACAAGTTGGCTAAAAACATTGAGAAGCTTGAATGACTAGCCTGCTGCTGTCACAGCCTCAGGTTAAACTCCACACACAAAATTTCCAGACTTAGCTCTGATGCTTCTTAAGGGTCGAGAGCTTTCAAGGAACTTAAGAAAGGAGGAGAGGGACACATGGAGGAGGTCCCAGGAACTCAGTTTTGTCATCTCCCAATATGTGGAAAACATTCCCCTTTCTGGACGTCCTGTTCTCTCTAGCCCCTTGCCATCCTTCTTCACACCATTATGCTGAAGAAATGACTATAGGCACATAATGGTTTTTTTTTTTTTTTTTTTGCATGCTCGTGAATCAAAGGCGCCTCCTTCCCATATCCTGTTATAAGAATCCAGCATCTGTAGAAACAATTTGTGGTGGTGGGGGGGGGGAATCAATGAATTCCTCTGGCGCACTTGGGGCAAAGCTCATATATATGTTCACGAGCTCCAATGCTAGCTTCACCTTGCCACCCCACAGCTTTCATCCAGCCACACAGTGGCTGAGGTGTTGAGCTCTGCCGGTAGAATGCTTGTGCTTGGATTTGGGGACATTAAGCCTCTAGACCTGTGAGACTTTGGTCAATTCATGCTACCATTCTGTGCCTTCGTTTCCTTATATGCAATCCGGAGGTTTGTCAGCAGTTCTGTGACTGTGTGGTACTTTGGGCACTGGGGGCCACACGGCTGGTTTCTGGGGCCATCTCTGGAAGAACGCAGGCCTGACCTCCACCCCCTCCCCCAGGCGCTTGTGCAGCCCTCACGTCGCACTCACCTCGCTCGAGGTGAGTGCTGCTAAGGTCCAAGACTTCCAGAGCCTCCAGGGGCCCTCCGTTCTCCTGAACGAACGCCTCCTGGGCGATGTGGCTCAGCTCGCTGCAGGAGAGGTTGAGAAGCTGCAGCGCGGGGAAGCATGCGAAGGTCCGTGGCTGCAGCGCCCCCAGTGGGTTCCCCGCCAGCGCCAGAGAGCGCAGGTGGCGCACCGGGGACCCGGTGCAGGGGGGTAGCCTGACCAGCAGGTTGTGGCTGAGGTCGAGCTCCTGCAGCATGGCTGGCGTGCCGTTGCTCCAGTGCAGCAAGGAGATGCGGTTATGGTTCAGGGTGAGCATGTGCAGCTCGGACAGGCGACCGAACTCAGGCCCGCCAAAGGCGCGCAGCAGGTTGTGGCTGCCATCGAGGATGCGCAGCGTGTGTGGCAGACAGCTGGGCAAGCGCTCCAGGCTGCGGTTCGCCAGGGTCAGGGACGTGGCTCCCGCAGCGGGGAGCCCCTGGCAGGACGAGTCGGTGGCGTGGCTGTCGTGGTTGTCCTAGGGTCCCTGACGAGTGAGTCGGAAGAGGGGGATCGTCTCCTGGGAAAGTCCAGCCAGGCTCTGGCTCTGCTCCATCAGCAGTAGTAGTAGCAGCAGCAGCAGAAGCGTCCACCGCATCTCTAGTCTCTAGGGAAAAAAACCGTGACTTCAGAGGAAGCTCCCGAACGGCAAAAGTGTGTCCCTGGATGGTCAGAGACACACAAACACACACACACACACACACACACACACACAC